TACTAGTGGAGCAGTGCCTTAAAAATAATATGAAATTACATTTTTTTACATTAAACTGTAGCCCAAAAAATGTCCAATGTGTCTATTAAAGCACGAAATACGAGACAAAATTGATAAAATTATTCTGAAGTCTGATAGTTATTATACTATTTTCTATTACATTATATAAGTTTTCTAAGTTTCACTGTTAGTTGTTCCAAATTTATTTATTGTATTAATTTATTAAAGTTTAAAATAAAATAATATTGAATTATTCCATAATTATTTTTATCTGTAATGGTCACACTGCATCGTGTCCGTTTGAGCCACAGATATATACAATTATTGTATATATCTGTGGTTTGAGCCCATAGAGTATTACTCTATGTTTGAGCCTCATGAAAAATTCACATTGCCACCTCTATATTCTTATTACTCTATGTTATATATTATCTATGTTTTAATATTATGTCGCTGTTATCAAAATTGGGAAATCTGTACCCATAGAGTAAAATACTTGCTTATTAAATTTAGCCATGTACAAGCTCCGCTAAGCAGGCTATTAGCTGACGGTTTAATATATGGCTACACTGTAAAATTAATTTACGCATGCGGATGCCATGTAATTTTTTTTATGAACCTAATGACTATTAGCATTTGTTATTGTACAATAGGTACTACAATGTTTAGTTTTATATCTTAAATCWTTGTTTTGTCCGTAACTAAAAGTAATTACTATCTACCATTTCTTTTATACTGCTTATACTTATAAATTAGTTGCTTTTAGCAAAAATAAATAAAATACTATTAAAAACATGGAAGTGAGTTACGAAAATGAAGGTAAGATGTACATCAACTTCATAAGACTATGTTGTTATTAATTGTAAAAATATTGTTTCTTTATCACAAAAGAATACTAATATGAACATAAGTTGKAAATGCGAAATGTATTCCAAACAATCGCCCATAAAAGAGTCGAAAATAAACAAATAATATTTACTTTTATAAACACCAAATACCTACTGATAGTATTCATTTTAGTAATATTCAAAGGTTTGCTTTGTTATATTGATAAAATTTTGGGTATTACTTAATGATGTTTATTGGAAGAATGTTGTTATGTTTTGTATGTGCTTTTAAGTTTACCTCCAATATTTTTCTCATCATTCTAATAATCAACATTTATTTATTTACTGAAAATATTCACCCATTTTAAAAATCAAATGTTAACTGTTTTCTCTTAATTTGTTATCATTTTGAAAAGTAGCATKGCCAAAATATGTGTGCTAGGTATAGTTACTTTTATTTGATTCRACAGAAATCAATGATCTAAGTTCAGTGACTGGTTTCAAAATTTTTGTAAATAAAAATTACCATGTTGATTAAATTGTTATTCATACCAAAATATATGTGTTCGTCTACATGGTCATGTTATCTCATCTTATTAATTCTATGAAATCAATGAATCTGATAGTAAATAGGTTCCTTTGCAGTTTATAGAGCTAAAAACCTGAGTTATAACCTTTATATTCTTTGATGTTCACATCTAATAAGAAGAGTTAGAATGTTTATGATCTTATAAACTAAATAAAAATGGTTTACGCATTACCAATCGTTCCACAATTGTAGATTTTTTTTTCTTTGCCTTGCATTTTCAATTAAACATTTCACTTAATATAGATTTAGGTACTTTTTAAAATCAAATCGTTAAAAAGTTAACAAAAAAAATGTAAAATTTACATAAAATAATTAAAATTCAGAAATTAAAGAGAAATGGTCTATTTCTGATTGTAAATGAGAGATTTTCTCTCCAAAAACTTGGCTACACAGAAAATAAGTACAACAGGTTAATTTACTATGTTGTAAGTCTTAAATGGTTTTATACTTTTACTATCTATGTTAGTACTGATATGTTAAGAGGTTACTACACAACTATTTTTGTCTCAATCTTGAGAGTGCATAATTTAGCAAATTTGCACTCAACAGGTCACGTTTACCTCCGTTAGTAAGTCAACTTACTCTCATTATTAAACTACTGGAGTTAAAGTGATCTGCTAAGCGTTAATTTGCTATGTTACACACTTGTAAGAGGAAGACATAAAATATGTGTTTAGCGACCTCTTAATGGTAGAAGTCTAAGACAGAAGGCTGATATTAAGCAAGATACAYAAAAGAAGCATATCACTTAAAAATCAAAAATTTCAAATTTCTTCATGTTGTTAAAAATCAAAAATTGGCTAACTGGTTTTTAGAAGTATTTGTAACTTTTGTGTTAAAGAAAAATAATTATATTGTATCAGATAATGTTGCTTACTTAGGTTTCATTAAAGAAAATTACATTTTGTAAAAATTGTTGTTTAGGATATGACAATGATTATCAGTCTAAATCTAAAGGAAGTATTTTAACTAGAAAGAACAATACTATGCCAATATGGGGCAATGAACGTACTATGAATTTAAATACCTTAATTTTAACTAATATTCAATCATCTCACTATTTTAAAGGTAATTATCAAAGATAAAATTAATTAATAAATTACTAAGTATTCAAATTAGTGTATGCTGTATTTTATTTTTAATTTTTTTACCATTTACTCAATATTTGGTWTATAGTATTAAGGTATACCTATATTGGATACTTTTATGCATTAAATAATTTAATATTTATTATTATTTTAGTAAATTTATATGAATTGAAAACTTATCATGAAGTTATTGATGAAATTTATTATAAAGTACAACATCTTGAGCCATGGGAAAAAGGTAGTCGTAAGACTTCTGGACAGACTGGAATGTGTGGCGGTGTAAGGTTTTAATTTATCTAGTTATTCTTTCTAATCTAAGTAGATTTTTTCTAAATAATTATTTATAATATTAATTAGGTCAGAGGAGTTGGTGCCGGTGGAATAGTATCTACAGCGTTCTGTCTTTTGTATAAACTGTTCACATTGAAATTGACTCGCAAGCAGGTAACTGGGCTAATTACCCATTGCGATTCACCTTATATACGTGCTTTGGGTTTTATGTACATCAGGTAAGTTTTTGATCAAACTATCCCAAAGTGTATAGTGGAGGATAATTGTTTCAAGAATAATTACAGTTCTGAAAGTATTCCATCTCCTGTTATGTATATACAATTTCCTGTTATGTCGTTTTAAATTAAATAGCTGTTAAATATTMTGTTTAAGGTATACTCAACCCCCCGGTGATTTATGGGATTGGTATGAATCTTTCTTAGACGATGAAGAGGTAAACTTTATTTAGCTTAGGTTTTTCCAAACKGAATAAATGAGGTTAATTTATATACATATTTTTATTCAAAATATACTTCTTTATATTGCATTAGGAAATGGATGTAAGAGCTGGAGGTGGTCAAACAATGACAATTGGCAATATATTAAAGAGCTTTTTGTTTAAATTAGAATGGTATTCAACACTGTTCCCTAGAATCCCTGTCCCCATTCAGGTAGGTATGTCGGCCAAATACATTCATATTTACCACTTTTAAATCTTAAATATATAATAATGAATATTATGAAAAATATTAATTATCATTTAAATTGTTTTCAGCAACAAATGGAAAAGAAAATGAGTGAAAAGTATCCTCCAGTAGTTGAAGAAACACCTAGAAGAATTAATATACCGGAAAAGAATTTCAGGTTTTAAAATAAGTTTTTAATTGATTTGACTTTAATTCTTCACGTGTATAATATTTTAGCAGGGATCGAGATGACTATAGAAATAGAGGGGATTTATCTGACACCTCAAGATCTCGTGAACGAATTGAACGTAGAGAAAGATCACATAGAGATTATCGTGATAGAAATTATGAACGCAAGCCCAGTAATGCAAACTCTCGAGAAAGGTTAAAATAATTTCATTAAATAATTATTTCTATACTGACTTATATATAATAATATTATTATATACAATATGTACTAATTAATTAAAAGCTTAATGGCTAATMAATTTATAAGGAATTTTCCATAAGAATAAGTTGTCAATTAAATTTGGAAAAATGGCTTTCAAACTTTCTTAGACATTTTTTTATTCTAGGAAGTAAAAGAAAAAATATTGATTATTCATAATTTTAAATAATTGTATTGGTAAGTTAGTATCGCATTAATTTAATATATCTGTAAACATGATGTAATTCAAAACTTATAACTATTAATTGCATAAAAAATATATATGATAGTTGGAAATGAAGTGTTCAATGGACAAAAATTCTTACATAATTTATTGAGGGTAAATTTAAATCATACTATAATACTAAATAAATATGTCTTCAATCTTAATTATATAATCTAATCATATTCATATATTACTATTTGTTTTGTCTTATTTTTAGATCACCTTATGTAAGTCGAAGAGATGATTATAAAAAAAGGTAATGAACATAGATGTTAATGACCTTATAGTAAATTTTAATAAATAATTATTATTTTAGTTCTTCTAGAAGTCCAAAATATGGTAGCAGTAAAAGAAGGGACCGAGATGATTACAAGTAATTTAAAACTTTTTTTTTGTCCATGTTTGCCCTAATAACATTTAATATATAAATTAGTGTAGAACGATACTATTGCATTTGTTTATCTTATACATTACAAAACTCATAATTTTGTAATTTGCAACAATTGTTCTTTAAACTTTTTTGATCAGAAAACATACTTATTATAAAAATAAGGTAATAACTAATAAGGTTAAAAATAACTAAATAATAGTAAAAAAAATATAGCAAGKGTCTTATAAATTTTTATTAACAAAATTACTTTCTTAATTATAAAAATTAAATTTTTCTTTTCTAGGTCAAGATCAAAATACTAATAAGGGATTTGAAGTGCAAGATTGATCATTATTTTAATTTTTTCACTCCATTAACAAAAAGAGTGAATGAAGTTCTTAGTTTAAGTTGTACATATACATCCACATTATTTAATACACAATTTCTGTATTTTTAATTCATATTCAAATGAAGACAATTTTCAATAATAATAAAAAAAAATGACTTGTAATTAGTTTAAGAATATTGTGATTACTATTCAAAATATGTTTGATTCCAAGCCGTTAAAATTGTGTTCCTTAATTTAACATTTACTTCCTTATCTTCTCTCATAAAACTTTTTAATGGATATACTTCTTTCTTTTTTATAAACGAACTAAATTTATGCCAAAAACCATTATTTGTGGTCCTTGCATTTCTTTCATCTTTGCATTGATTGTAATCACTTATGGTATTTAATGCAGTTGTATTATCAAACTCTGGTATCCAATCATCAAATTCAGCTTTAAATATTGTATTCATTAAACTTTGATATACCATTTCAGTAACATTTTTACTGTACAGGAAATCAACATGGTTGAATTTGTCAAATTTAATGAGATGTARCCCTAATCTGTTTGGAAGATGTGAATACAACTCCACCACATCCTAGGTGCAAAAAAAAATTAATATKTTAAAAACAAAATAATTTATTACTTTATTTAAATATTATTATGTGTTTATAAATCCATCACTGATCATCAATAAATGATGAGAAAATTCAATTATTTTTTACTTACTGCAGGATCTGCTAGTATATCGTTTTTAGCATAATAAAAGGCTATGGGAACTATTATGTTGCTCAAATTGTATTTTGGTGGATGTGAACAATTATACACCTCAAGGTTTTTTTCTTTCCCAAAATCAAATTGTTGAAAGTTTTCTTTAAAAGATGTTTTTTGGAATTAAATTATCAATTGTTTAATTCTAGATTACTATATTTACTTGTAGTGATTTCTTGTGCGAAATGAATTAATGTTTTAACTGACGTACCAGCTGGATTGTGTCCTAATATTATAGGAAGTAAGGTCTAAAAAAATATATTATTATAATTTTAACTTAGGCATAGACCTATAAACTAAAATGTTTATACATAAGTGCTTAAGGTAAAAATATTATGTAGTACACATATACATTTGTAGCCTGTAGGTATCACTAATGCACAAATCAAAATTGTGTACGCTTAAAAATATGATAATATTAACACATTAAACCTTAAAAAATAAAAAGTATTATCTGTCTTTTCTTGTTAATCGTTTACAATATTTAATATTCACTAATATATGATTTACAGGCAAACTTAGCAAACAGATGGTTAAAGTTTGATTCTAAAGTCAATTCTATCAGATTTTAAAGCTATAGCAACATAAAGTTGGAATTACTGAACTCGAATTTTATATGTTACCAATTTGTAAGAAGAAAAAAACACGAACGGACGCAATATGCTATTAAAATCAATTTGTAAGTTTGTACCAAACGTATAAAGGTAGGTCATTATTTTTCCGCAAATCAAGAGTTTAAAATAGTTTAGAGAAAATCTCGCATCTTCAATATAGAAACTGAACATTTAAAAAACAACTTAAACCGTTCAAACTCAAATTGGTTTCTTGGTTCTAGACCTGTTTAAACTTTTGATTAATAAACCTTATATAGTTAAGTTAGAAATTTATAATATTTAATAGATTTACCATATCAAATTGAACAGTATCCTCCCCGAACATTTTATAAACAATATACTTTTTACACAACTCTGAATTGATAGCATCATCTCCACATAAATATTTATTTACTAATTTGCTGGCAGCGTTTTGCGGTAAAAACGCTCCTTTCGAAACCCAATTCGAAGCTTTCTAGAATTAAAAAAATATATTAATAATATAGTAATATACCCACATTTACTATTCAAGATTAAAAGTAGGTAGGTAGATAAATAAATTATTTTAGAAGCTTCTACACGTACTTGTATTTGGTATGCATACGGAACTAAACTATTTAAAACGGAAGTCATGTGATGAACGTAGGCCACTGGAGCTAAACTTATTTGGGCTCGGATTTTATAATTGTATTCTGGCAGCATAGAGCACATGACGAAAAACATACAAGATCCCATCGAATGGCCTATGTAGTATAATTTACTTTGGTTCGTGCGTTCTAAGATGAAGTCTATGGTGGCCGGCAAATCATAGATTCCCATTTCGTGAAAACTATAACAAAAAAATTACACATTATTAGGTACACCTCGTGGTACGCACCTCCTATCTCTTTATATATTATATGTCTACCTAGTACCTTCAATCATTGTGTTTTGGAACAGGGGCGTCATTTCAGGTTTTTTTTCGGGTGTGCGAAATTTCAAGCAGGCCATTTTGAAATTTCACCAGGCCATATAAAAATAGATATACATACGTATATGTATATTATCCTGCATTCAATTATTTCCATACATTATAGACCGGTTATTACAATTTGATTTTAATCATATAAATAATTGTGCATTCGTGGCTCGTGTATTATTTTAGGCTCAAGCAAGGCGCAGGCC